AAAATGAAGTTTTGTAACCACAGTTAAAAAGAATTTAATGATTACAAATATGATAGAAGTACCCCCTTGAAGTTGGATAACTTGAACTTGTAATCAGCAAAGCTTTTGTGAAAAAGAATTTTCCAGCAATGCTTTGTGGCCTGGGAACAGTAAAGTAGATGTTGACAATTATTTACTTTGTAAGATGTGAGAACTACTGCCAGAGAGTCTAAAAGTGACAATTAAAGTTATAAGATCAGCTGTTTTGAAAACACCTGCTAATTTTTAGGGTGGATCTGGCACTGATCCAAACATACAGATTGGGGGGAAAAAAGAGAAGCTGCAAAGTATTAAAACTGTAGCAGCTCATTAAGAAATCTAATGTTTCTGATTTTTTTGCTGATTTTTTTGTTTAGAATAGTTTATTCATATAAATATTTGGTTTTACTTTCTTAAAGATTTGGGGGAAAGTACCCTTCTAAATATGGAGTATATTTTTTTTTCACAAAGTCATTTCAAATAATAAGATCTTAATGTATTCTGGAGAGAATTAGCACCATTAGTGCCTAAACTATTCTTTTTTTTTTTTTAATAAATGGTTCAGTACTTGTACCAAAATTTAGCTCACAGAGAAGAAAAATTGATTTTTTTTTTGCCAAATTTGCCCCTCCTTTATTTTTCGATTGATTTGAAAGGCCAAGTTAGAGAGAGAGAGAAAGACAGAGAGATATTCCAACTGCTGCTTCACTCCCCAGATGGCCAAATGGCCAGAGGTGGGCCAACCTGAAGTAGGGGCCTGGAGTTTCATCCAGGTCTCCACATGAGTGCAGGGGCCCAGGTATTGGTCTATCCACCACTGATTTCACAGGTTCATTAGCAGGAAGCTGGATCAGAAGTGGAACAGCTGGGACTCCAGTGCCATGTGGGATACAGGCGTCACAGGTGGTAGCATGACCCACTGATCCACAATGCCTGCCCATTCCCCCTCCCCAATCCCTTAGAAGAGGCTATATCTTTAAAATAGAGGTCATATCTCTCTCACTATCCACTCTGCCTGTCAAAAAAAAATAGAGGTCAGATCATCCCTTCTCACTCAATCACCTGTTCATTTGCTATGGGGAATTCAAAATGGATAAATTTCCTTCCTTCAATAAGCCAACTTTTATATATTTTTAAACTTGATATCCAAGAAATATTCTAAGAAGATTTTAAATATTATGGTATTGATTTTAAATATATTACTTTATTATTAAAAGACAATGCCATTTGTAAGCTAGAATCACAGATTAAGGGTACTTGAAAATATATTATTTTACTTGATACAATATATCTTGCATTATAATCTCTGTGATAAGGAAACTGAGCCTGAGACAGTTAAAAATTTACATAGGTTTCCACAGCACATATAGGTGACGGAGGAAGAACTGTAATATAGATTGTATGGTTCCATACCTTTTTCATTAGATTTGTTTCCATAGATTTTACTAATAAAACTCAACGAATTTCTAGTAGTCCAAGTCCAGTTTACTTTGTAGTTATCACCTATTGACTTCTCTGAAGCATCTATGCCTTTGACTTCCTATGTTTTTGAATATTTCTTTTCTCTTGACGTCTGTGATATTTTTGCTTTTCTGATTCTTAGTTTTTTAAAAACTTGTCTGAATATCTATCTTTGGTCTTCACTTTCAGCAATTGCATGTTACTTAGCACTGCTAAGCAGGTGGTTCTGAAATCTGGATCTGCAGCATTGAACTTCCCACCTAGTTACAGACTTGTGTTTTCAACTGTGTGCTAGATGTCTTTATCTGAGTGCCCAAATGCACAATTTTTGTAAAAGAGAATGCTTGGTAGTTGTTTAGGATCGTTTGATACATGTTAAAGGAATTACAGTGCACTATATACTTTGCTAAGTGTTATGAGGAATTAAAGCATGAATCAGCCCTAGATTGTTGCTAGGAAAGTACATAAAACTCAACATGTTTCTATGTTTTTATTTTTAAGATTTATTTATTTATTTACTTGAAATGCAGAGTGACAGGGAGAGGGAGAGACAGAGTGAGAGAATGATCTGCTGATTTACTCCCCAAATGGCTGCAATGACTGAGGCTGGGCCATACCAACCAGAAGCCCAGAATTCTATCCTGGTCTCCTACATGGGTGGCAAGGGCCCAAGAACTTGGGCTGTCATTTGTAACATTTGCTGTTTTCCCAGTTGCATTAGCATAGAGCTGGATTGGAAGTAAAACAGTTGAGCTCAAACTAGCACTCCATTGTGGGATGTCAGTGTGGCAAGTGACAACTTAATTTGCTGTACCACAATACCCACTGCAAAGTTTTTGTTTCTGGTACCAATGGCCATACAGTAGACACCTCAGATTTGAAATCTCAGAGTCATCTTTGAAAAGTACTGTTCTAGCGGTAGGTGTTTGGCCTGACAGTGAAGATGCCAATATCCCATATTTGAGTCATGGTTGTGGCTCCTGACTCTAGATTTTTGCTAATGCAGAATGTGGGAGTCAGAAGGTGATGCCTGAAATAGTTGATTCCCTGTCACTTGTGTGAGAGAACTGAGCTGAGTTCCTGGATCCTGGCTTTGACCTGACCCAGCCCTAGCCATTGTGGCTATTTGGGGAGTGAACCAGTGGAAAGAAGAGCACACTCCTTCAAATAATAATAATAATAATAATAATAATAATAATAATAGAATCTGTGTATCTCCGTTTTTTAAAAAAAGTACTGATCATGATCATTAGGATAATCTTCTAACTTGTCTCCTCACCTATACCCTTTCTGAACCCTTTCTGTTCTCTAATTAATCTTCTTGATTAATTAGACTTCTGTTGATCTTACATTCCTGATTAAAAGTACTTAACGATTTCTCACTGCTTGTAGAACCAAAGTTCTGTCTGCTAAATATAACTTACTCTTTTCCAAACTTGGTGACTTAAGTTATTTTTCACTTGGAAAATCATCTTTCATCTCTTCAGATCCAAGGACCACCTCAACCTTTAAAACACTACTTGAACCAAGTACCCTACATGAGCACTGCCAGATGAAACTCAGTTTTTCCTACTTTTACCTCTATCCTATATGTTCTTTATCTGTAGCTCTATGAACATGTATCACAATCTACCTTGTAGTATAGATGTTTATATTCATATATTATCTAGACCAGTGATTGACAAAATGTTTCTGTAAAGGCCCATATAGTACATATTTTAGGCTTTGTAGCCCATATAGGTCCTAGATCTCCTTTTTTAAATTTTTAATTTGTTTTGTTTGTTTGTTTTGGTGGGTGGAGAGAGAGAGAGAGCGCTCCCATCTATTGGTTGACTTCCCCAAATGACTGTCATTGCCAGGGCTGGGCTGAGGCTGATATGAAGAGCCAGGGACTCAATCCAGGTCTCCCACATTGGGGATAGGGACCCAACTACTTGAGGCATTATCATCTTAAGAGATGCATTAGTAGGAAGTTGGAATTAGAAGCTGTAGCCAGTAATGGAACCCAGGCACTACAATGTGGGACATGGGTGTCTTAACTGGTATCTTACTTGCTAGGTGAAATACCTGTCCCTGTTTTTTTTTTTTTTCTTTCTAGTTCTCAAAAAAATCTAAATACTATTCTGCACTTGAGAACAGTAAAAAATTTTCTGCCATAGTTTGGTGACCACTGATGAATATTAAATTCTCCTGGTAATAATATAAGTCTGATTCATGTTTATATGCCTCATAGCTCTTAGCAAAGTATGTTGTGCATAGCAAGCACCTAAATCTTACATGATTGCAAAAAACTACCAAAGAAATTCTCTTTTACGAAACAAATGCAAAATAGCGTCTAAAAGAATATTTCTAATTTTATCCATCTTTAGATTTAATAGTTCATCAACTAGTCAAATTTAGTCACACATTTTACTAAAATATCCATGAACCATTTAGTTAAATCACCTTTTATTCAAACTTGAATACAGGAAGTATATAGCTTTTGATTCAAAGTGTCTTGCCTTCTCAACAACCAGTGTCTTGGGCCTGTTGTTCTAAGAATACTTATTATAGCAGATGATAAAAATGCTAGCACGTTTTGTTTATTTTGAAATAGTTCTATACACATTAACTGCTTATATTTTTGGCCATCCCTCCTTCTATACCATTCCCCTATTTTATAAAATAAATGAGTGCAAACTTTGTTTTGTATCAAAGCAACAACAAAAAAATCCCAGCTCTCCCTATATAAATAAGACTCAATGAAAAACAAGAGAAAAATAATGTAGTACCTTATACATTTATTTTAGACTTCTTATATGATTCTTATTAGTCTTTCCTTGGCTTCATTCAGATCTTGGACATGTCACCAGCCTTTATTTCATTGGCTGACATCTTCTAACCACTTGGCTAATCCTACAGTAATTTAGTTGATTGTACAGAGATACAGTGGCTCTTGAAGCCTCTACTCTGTTCTTAATATTCAAAACATATGTTGTACTGAGAGTCTCAGCCTTGATTATAATCACATGTAAGAACTGTACACTTCAAGGGCACCCAAATTGAGTTCTAGGAAAAAAAAATCTTTAATATAGTTATACCTACTTTATGGATTAGTAGTTTCAAATTATGTTTATTTTGCAATTGTTCAACAATACTTTCGCATAGAAAGAAACCTGCCAGTGAAGCCAATTTAAATGAGGTTGACCTCCTGCTTGTCTACCTCAGAGGAAACTCATTATAACTTGCCTGAGGAATAGAAAAAAAAAATTGCTTTCCTGTCCTACTCCAATCTCCCCCAAAGATTTCGTTAGATTTAATAAAATGTAGTGGGAGAAATTCAGATTGTTCTTTTTGATAAAATGGACTATATTTATTACTATTTCCGTACATTAGTCAGAACTTTATTGATATGTCATTGCTACTGTCTTCCTCCATTCTGCCATTACCTCGCAGCCTGTTAGAGACGATATTTGCTTTAGTTAAGAGTCATAGGAAAAGATACTTTTTAAAGCAAAACACAATCTTTCCCATCTTTGTAGGAACCACTGTCGCCATTCCTAAGAGGGGGCCATTTCTTCCCAGGAAACAATGTTATTTATGAAAAAACAATAAGAAAAGTAGAGAAGCTGAATACAGACCAGGTAAGTAATATTTCTTTTTAAAATTGTTATGTAAGTGTATAACTTAATGCATGAATATTTTAAGGAAGTTAAAATCACGAAGTGTTAGAAAAGACCACCATGTGTTTTGACAGTGTGTCATTATGCCTGCACTTCGCATCATCCTTTATACTTTCATATCCATTTTCTCATGTGATGTATTATTGTCCCCATTTTACTAAAAGGGAAATCAAGGATATGTGAGGTCACATAGAAAATTAGTAAATTAGTGGTGGAGGGGCTGGTGTTGTGGCACAGCAGATGAAGCCACCACCTGCAACACCAGCATCCCATACGGGTGCCAGTTTGAGTCCCCGGTATTCCACCTCTCAGCCAGTTCCCTGCTAGTGTGCCTAGGAAAGCAGTGGAAGATGGAACAAGTGCTTGAGTTCCTGCATGCATATGGGAGATCCAGATGGAATTCCAGGCTCCTGGCTTCTACCTGGCCCACCCACAAACTGGGTGACTTAAAACAAGAAAAATGTATTATCTCACAGTTCTGGAGGCCCGAAGTCTGAAATTCACTGTGTGACTAGGACCATGATCCCTCTGAAGCTACCTGGGAAGGAATTTTCACACCTGTCTTCTAGCATCTGGTAGCCTCGGGCATTCCTTGGTTTGTGGTACATCATTAATCCTCTGTATTCATGTGGGACCTTCCCAGTATATTCTCACATTATCTTTTTCTGTGCATGCATACTTTTGTGTTCAAATTTTCCATTTTTATAAGGACACCATTGTATGAGATTAGGGACCATCCTGATGATTATCCCTTGATTAACTATATAAGAAACTATTTCCAAACAAGGTCACATTTTAATTTACTTGGAGTTAGGTATCTTTGAGAAGACAGTACAATTAAACCCATAACAGACAGTTATTATTGAATTAGTTTTCATAACAAATTCACTTTTCTCATGTGTATATCAAACTAACTAAAAAAATACTAGATTTTTCTTTTTAAACTTCTTAGCATGAGAACATGTTTTATTTTTATGAGCACTATGGACAGTTGTTACCAGAGTGATAGGTACTAACTCATTATTTATTTGATGTCCCGTAAAATTGAAATGCAATAAACTCCAAGACATATACATCCATATATTTAAGAATTTTATGTGCTTAGAAAGCTGGATATATTCTGAAAGGTATGATATGATATGTATTTTACACAAATCTTCCAAAGAAACCACAGAGTACTTCTGGACATTTGAGTCCAAATAGAAGCATTTCATCAAATATTTCTGCTCTTCAAGGAACACTTTCCTGAAGCTGTTAAATTATAATATATGTCCCTTACCCAACCAGACTGCCAAAACAAAAGTCTGATGTATTTTAGACAGTAAGAAATGTTTGAGGCACATCATTCCATGCTGCTTCCAGCTTCTTGTTTCAAAGAAAGTAAATGACCTTTTTAATTATTGGTCTCTAGAGTTTGCTATTTGGCTGGAACAACTAAAGAAAAGTTCTAAGAGATCACTGTTTCGCTTACTGCTTTTTTAACAATTTTATAATAGTTTTCAATTTACAAAACAAAAATTATGAAGTAGTACAAAATTCCTATATATCCCATTCCCAGCTTCCCCTATTATTTTTTTTAAGATTTATTTATTTATTTGAAGGCAGAGTTACAGAAAGACAGAGACAGAGAGAGAGAGAGAGATGTCTTCCATCCTCTGGTTCACTTCCCAAATTATTAGTATATTTGTCACAAACTGTAAATCATATGCAGCTTCTGTACTATTAAATATAATATTTACTTCTTTATGCCAACTTTTTCTTATTAACGACTTAAAACCACTTGGAATTTTTTAAAACTTTCATGGAAGCTCTTTGAGGTAAAAGGAACCATACAGATGGAACAAACTATGAGGATAAGCTGGATAAAACCAGAGTATGAATGAACCTATTTACTATGCACATATGACTGCAACAAATAATACCAGTTCTTAGCAGAGGGTTTTTTTTTAGTGAAAGGGTGGTAAAGCAGTACCAATTGCAAGATAATTATCCAGCTCATATGATTTTCACTGTGCATTTCTTTTTTCTCTATCAAAACCAAAAAGTATGAAAAATCAAAAATGTTTGATTTTTCATACTTTGAAACTTCAACTTATGATTTGCTTAAAATATAGTTAAAATTATGTATCTTGCTTTAGAACAATATCTTTAGTTGTTACATGTAAGGCATGCGGAGCCGGCTGAAATGCCCATGAGAGTATTTCAGGCATGGAAAGCCAAGACACTCTGGGGGAAAAAAAAAAAACTAAATGAAAGATCTCCACAAGTGAGATCCCAGTGGAAAGAACGGGTCATCAAAGAAGGAGGTACCTTTCTCTGAAGGGAGGAGAGAACTTCCACTTTCACCATGGCCTTGTCTAAATATGATCAGAGTCAGTGAACTCAGGGGGCTTCCATAGCCTTGGCAGCTCATGACAAGAGCCTAGGGTGATTACTGAGGCCATAAACAGGAGTGTCAATTTGTTAAGTCAACAACAGGAGTCACTGTGCACTTACTCCTCATGTAGGATCTTTGTCCTTAGTGTGCTGTACATTGAGATTTAATGCTATACCTAGTACTCAAACAGTATTTTTCACTTTATGTTTCTGTGTGGGAGCAAACTGTTGAAATCTTTACTTAATGTATGCTAAACTGATCTTCTGTATATAAAGAGAATCGAAAATGAATCTTGATGTGAATGGAAGGGGAGAGGGAGTGGATAAGGGGAGGGTTGCGGGTGGGAGGGACGTTATGGGGGGGAAGCCATTGTAATCCATATTCTGTACTTTGGAAATTTATATTCATTAAATAAAAGTTAAAAAAAAAAACTCTGAAGAATCAAAAACTAAAAACCTCCAAGACTTCAAAGATATCAGTGAATGGTTCAGAGGCCAAATGGGCTCAGGGAAACTGTGAGGTACAACAGATGGGAATGGCAGTGTTCTAGTCAAGAGTCAGCTGATACACTGGAAAGAAATATGATTAAGAAAGGGGCTCTTGGGGCTGATGTTTTGGCATAGAAGGTAAAGCCACCGCCTGCCACACTGGCATCCCATATGGGCGTCAGTTCAAGTCCTGGCTGCTCCACTTCTGATCCAGTTCCCTGCTAATGAGCCTGCAAAAGCAGCAGAGGATGGCTCAAGAGCTTGGGCCCCTGCACCCATGTAGGAGACCTGGATGAAGCTCCTGGCTCCTGGCTTCAGCCTGGTCCAGCTCTGGCTATTGCAGCCATTTGGGGAATGAACCAGTGGAAATCTGAAAGGAAGAAAGGGAGGGAGGGGAGGGAGGGGAGGGAGGAGAGAAGGAAGAAAGAAAGGAAGTAAGGTAGGTAGGGAGGAAGGGACTTTTTTTTCCTTTATTACTCCCTGTTAATGTACCCTTTCCAAGTGTTTCCTAACTTGTTTTTTGAGGAACACAGGTTTTTTGTTTTGTTTTTGTTTTTGTTTTTGTTTTTTCCTTCAGGAGGGATCCTATTTTAGTAGTATATAAACTCCCCATTGACTGATGGTCTGCTCAGATTGTCAGTGTGATTTTATGCTATTCCAATAAATTAAGGGATTGTGTAACATAATAGAACATATTCACTCTCAAAGTGTGTAAGAAAGTTGCTGGTAACCTACATTTAGTTTCCTAAACTGTAAAGATCTTATTGTTAGCATACTTGTAAATCTTGAGACTTGAAAAAAGTCTTGAGAAAATGATTCTATTAATTATTTCTATGACCTTTACTAGCTGTATATCTACCAAGCTGTATATCTACTTGTTGCATACATGAAATGGTCATTTGTATACATAATAAAAATTCAGAGTATTCAACAAAATAAAAATTATAAAAATAATATAAAGAGTATGAAAAGATACATGGAAAAACTGATTTCTTTATCTGGGCTGTCTTGTCTTCTCAGAGGCAACCACTCTTAAAGTTTCTTGGTCAGTGCATGTAAAAGCAGTTGTATATGTTTGTAAATGTATACTCATATGTATGTGCATCGTTTTAAAGTTAAACCATAGGGGAGCATATTATTCATTCTTATACACTGTTGCTTTTTTCACTTAAAATAGATTAAAAATTACTTCATGTAAAAATTTTAAATATGAAATACTTTACTGTATTTTCCAACTTTCCACAATCAAAAGTAAATACAGCAAGCATCTACTTTCAAAATTAACTGTATTGCATGAATGTAAAATTATGTTTCAAAATAGAGTATTCTTTCGAAAACAGTTTTCCTGATGTCCCTTTGTGAAGTAGAGTAATACCAAAATAATAAAGCATATTCAAATATACCTGAAATCCTAAAACTAAAATAACTACCTGTATTTTCTTAGTATGTGTTCTATACTCACCAGAAAGCAAGTCATGAAAATTAAACAAGAAAATAACAAAGCTTTAGTTTAAAAAAAGC